AGAGAGAGAGAGAGAGCCGGCCGGCTAAGCTTCCCCGAGTGCGCGCGAGCTTGTGTAAAATTAGCCGACCTCCTCGATCTCCTTCTGCACCAGCGACGCGTGTGCACTCACGCCAGAGGTCTCCTGCTTCGTGCCTTTTTTTAGGATCGTCGAATTACACGCCCGGCCGATACAACAAAATGATATTCGCATCTAAATGAGCATAATAAATGGAGGTGAGGGTGAATGTGGAGAAGATTAATGGGCGCGTTAATTGACAGGTAGGCCGCGGACTCGGTGCGTTCTCGAGTTAGGCGACATGGCGTAATGAACTTGAAAGTTATATCGTGTTCGCTTGGCTCTCGCTAAATCTCGTCACGATCGGCTTAAAATTTGCCGACAGAGAACGGACGACCCCCCCAGAAGTTAAATATACGCGAAAAGCCGTTCGGTCAGCGGCTCCGCGTGTCGGAGTTCTCTTGGTGCACCGCTTACGCGGCGAATATGGATACGGTCGTCTCCGTGTTGATGTGGTACTCTTGAAAAATCTATACGATCCATTTAAACGAAACAAGAAAAAGAAAAGGGATGCTTCCGAAAAAACATCCTCGAATTTCAACAAAAAAATGCGTTTTCTGGTTCCCTTGGCTTTTTCGTCGTAGCGCACGAGACTCGAGTTCTATTCTGCAGTAGTAATAATAATAATAATAATAATAATAGTACGTTAGAGTGAAGTATAGCAGTCGGGAGGTGTCGGTGGTACATTATAAAAGGCCGACTATTTTTTTTTCTCGATAGTTTTAATTTAACCGGCCTATTTCTTGAGTACGAGTTAATAAGAAGCAGAGGCGCGTTAGCTGCGAGTAATATTGCATCACGAGTTGATTCGATATGTTATTTGCGTATTTTTCATGCAAGTCTGCGTTATAGCCGTACAAATGTTGCGAGGTTGATTATTTTTGAGGCTGCAGGAAGAATTGAATAGTGCGTAAGAGAGACTGGCGATGTGTCAAACATTATTATTATTTCTTGAAGCGTATAGGACATCGTATAGGCGATGGCTCGTTACGTTACACTGCAAATATAAATAATTTATTGTTGTAAGTTTGGTACTATTTGAGGGTAACGGGGATTATTATCGAAGTAGTCCATCGAACATCACGTCGAAAGTAAATAAATGGAAGCGCTTGTTCTGTTAAAAGCTTTTTCGATTATTTAACATAACATATGAAATATTTATTTGAGATTATTCGAATAAAGTTTTTATTTTAGGGCGAGCAAGTTTATTCGCGCCTTTGGTTTAATATCATTATTGAGGGAACATTTATGCTTGAGCTGTACTAAACATGATGCATATGGAGACCCAATTAAACGTGAAATAATTAAAAACAGAAAAAAAAGTCGTGACAATTAAATCGTAAAAATACAGTTTTCTCGCTTCTTTGTTGATTTTTACATATGCTGGAAATGTCCAATGATTTTTCTCGAATGAACGCGTTTAAACATTGTTATCGTAGGTTAAAAATAAGATTATATAAGGAAACTTAGCATGACAAGATTTACTATAAATGCTTTGTCCATCAAAATGATTTTCACGAAAGGAAATTTGGATATCAGCTGAGATACGAGTAATGAAAAATGTTGTTTTTATCTTTTTTTTCTTTCTTTCTTTTTTTTTTTTTTTTTTTTTTTTTTTTTTGTAAATTAATTTTATTTGACGTTTTGCTCGTGCACTTTCATATAATATTCAATGTACCTGTCAGAGCTTTAACATGACTATTCCTTCCTCTATTCCACACCTGCGTTCAACAATAAAAAGAAAATGATAAACTCTCTCTCTCTCTCTCTCTCTCTCTCTCACTAGCCCTTTTATTGATTCCTTTATGTCTTTCAATTTATATATGCTTTGAGCCTTTTCAATCACGTTGTTCTTTCGTCTTATTATTTACCACTTTACCATTGTTTCTTCGAGAGCTTTAATTATTATTTAAATAAGTGACTACGAGAATGCAATTAAACGTAATATTAATCATATATGTGAAACAATTAAGAAAGAATCGTGTTTATCAAATGTATGAAAGGGATAAAAAGTATTTTTTATTTGACAATACGAAAAATATATAATTAATTGTCCATGTGTAAGGTTTACATAAATTTGTATAAGATAATTTGTATAATTGTCGTATCCGTGCACTTAATCAATTCTTGGATAAAATATCTATTTATAATAGGACACGTTCTTTACAAAAAAAAATTAAATTAAAATATATAATGAAAAAAAAAAACAATCGTCCATGAAGCGTAAAAAGTTTTCTGATTGAATTTACAGGCATCCAGTGTTGTTAATGTTCCGGCTGCATTGTATATTCTCTCACGGAATTAGTGAAATAATATACAATAAATATCGCAATGGAATGTAAATTTGATTTGCAGACTATTTAATAATAGGCTTATGATTATATAAATTCAACTTATCCATTATCTCAGCAGAATCTCAAGTATTAATTACAATACTATTAATAATTATAGCTCGTATGATCTTTAAAATTACATTTTAAATATTACGAAACAAAATAGTTTTATCATTTATTTAATGAAAATAGTTTTATTATTTCTTTAATGGGAATACATAGTCGCACACTTCACATCTTTATCTCCATCCTTCTAGCTCTGTTTTAATTGCCTTGATAAATCCTATGAACAAACCTAGTACTCATCAAACTTCTCGTATGAATTTTCATCGGTCGCTTAAAAATAATACACTATACTTTTAATAATATTTTATCATTGAAAAGGCTGAATTCTATAAAAATAACGCAATACCAAGTCTGCGACTGCGACAACTACTCCCTCTATTAAAAAGTATATTTTTCGCCAAATTGTTGTGAAAATTTAACAATCCAAGAATCTAGAATATCAATGGAGTGCTGCATTAAGAGAAAGCCCCCTTCAAATTTTCACCTCCATTTATAAAATGACAATACAATATTTCTGCCATTTGCCATTTAAAAGCCAATGTCTCATAATCGTGTAAATTTTTTGCCATTTAAAAAATGTCCAAATGCCAAATTACCGGAAGAAGGCCTTGGTGAGATTATCCTCGTGATCCAGAAGTGGCTTGTCGACACGTCTCCCCACACGGC